TCATGGGATAGGCGTTCGCCCTGCCATAGAGTTTCTCAAAATTAACTAGAGGGCACTCTGGCGCTGCGATCGTTCAGCGACCATGGGAATGATAGGTAGTACACACATTTGCCTAGTCTCCGTACTTGCGGGCGGCGAATCGTACTTGCGGCTTTGTTTATTGCTGCGTTTCGGTTTTGTTTTGAAAGAAATAATGAACCCTTCTGAACTTAAGGACTTGATTCAAAATAGTAAGCTTAAAAGAATAAGGTTGTGAAGCACAAACGGCGAACATTTGCTAATTTATGTTTTCGTGAAAAAACAGCTCCAAGCCACACGAACACACACGGAGCCAGAAGCAGGCCAGAAGTACGAAAACTAGACAAATGTGTGTAATACCCATCATTCCCATGCTCTTTGAAGTACCGTGCGTTGCAGCTCCCATAGACACTAGCGCCAGAGTTCCCTCTTGTTAGTATTGTGGGAAACTCTATGTACCCTGCAATGGGCGTAGTCAGGCTGATGATGATGATGAATTCGTACCCCCTGGGACACCCTCTATAAATAATACTGAAAATAGACATGTTCCCGTCAGTATTTGCCAGTATTGACAGTCGGAAGTGATTGCGTTACATCATGACCCCACGAGATGGCTTTAGACGCACTTGGAAGTGTGTACAAGGAGTTGAATCCAATTCTCGCAACCATCTTTGGAAGTCGGCATTTATTTCAAATATACTTGTGGTGCAGCATTACGCCAAAAGCGAACGCAGAGTGAACACCATTTACAGTAAAACAAGATGACTGAGCAATCCGAAAACATAGGATTTGGTCTCCTGGCGTATTGGTTCATAAAAATTAGAGCAGACGGTTATCCCGCCAGCAACACACGCACTGCTTCCGAAGTAGTGTAACCATCGATAGTTTAACTATATATATATATATATATATATATATATATATAGAGAGAGAGAGAGAGGGGGGGGAGAGAGAGAGTCTCCTATGTGATAACAAGTCAATCAGTAATAAAAACTGGTTAGAAGGCAATTACTTCCTTTTTATGTATTCTTGTCTGAAGTAAGTATGATTATATGGTTTTAATGTAGTAGTATGGAAATCAGGGTGAGTCGGTTTGAGGACATTCCTAGAAGCATTTCGGCGCGCGCACAATAGACGAGAAAACGAAAGGGGAGAAGAAAAACCGTTTCTGTTTTTCGTTTGTCTTCTCGCCTTTCATTTTGTTGTCTATTGTGCACGTGCTAAAATGTTTACAAGACTAGTTTTACCTACATAAAATATGTTGGAGAAAATTCGGTGATCAAGTCACACATTCGCAAGTTTAAATGAACCCTCCATAACTAACTCTTTAAGCATGGTCAGAAGACGTTGTAAATCGGTAGTCGAGGCTCCTGAAAATACGCCAGTCAAATATTACGCAGCACGTAGCAGGGAATTAACAAATAATTCTGAATGTCTACTACACATCATTCTCTTTTGTTTCTACAAGTGATGCCATATACCCCATGACCACACCATATACCCAGGTCCAGGGCCACTGGCTGATTTAAGCATCGTCAGATGTGAAGTTACCTGGCCAGCACCAGAAGTGGCCACGGGCCCGTTCGATTGTGTTTGAAAAAAAAAAAGAGTCTGCAATCTTATGACGCGCACGTGACGTTACTTCAATCTTCTGTCCCATTCTCATTTGCTTAGCTTCCAGAGCACTCGTCAGCACGAGATAAGAGAGAAAGCAATTATAGCTTGCCCCAACTCCCTAACTGCACTAAAATTTGACGGATTCTGAAATTTTTTCCCGGTGGTTGGTTTATGTTGTAATAAACTGCTCTAATAAACCAACTCGAAGGTTAGCTTAAAAAGCGTAGCAGAGGCGCTTTAATGTATGACAAGCGAGACAATTCGGCTATAATATGAAAACATTGCACGGAAACTGTTCTCGTAATATATGTTTCCCAAGAAGGCTTCATTTCCATGATCAATATTGACATTCCTCAACCCTCGCCAGACGGCTGAGTGGAGCCCCCAATTTTATGTACATGTAAATGTCGAATTGTCGAATGCACAACTGCTTGGTTTTATACCATAGTACTGTTTCCCTGTCTCGCAGCAATTAATAGTCGACCGTTGTCCTCACGTGCCCTCATGTGGTGGCCGTATGAGGAATGCAGAAATGGCCTCCCCTACGTCACTTGCTACGGAGACCTGAAATGCAACCACACCCGCCAGCAGTGGGATGGCATACCGACAGCCCGAAGATTGTGGACGCGCAAAGGTAAGCCTAAGATATGCGTATATGCTGAATTCTCACGTCGACGCACTTCAAACGATTGGTATTGGATAGGTTCTTCAGTCCTTTGACGTTTACCACAACATGAAGCATACTCGCCGTGAATTACCTACATCAGCTAAACACCGATGTAGTGTATGCATTTACATGAGCTCGAAGCAGCTTCAAGTACCCGTAGCTGATTATTGAGTGATTGATCAATTGATTTATTGATCGATTAATTATATATTAATTAATTGATTGATTGTTTGAAAACCTTTATTGAGAAGCAAAGAGAGATGCAATGGCTGGAGTCCATTCCGGGATTCCAATGACATGAGGCATTTGCTTAGCCCTTTAGACCAAAGCCATCTGGGCCTGAATTAAGGTCCGAGAAACCACGCAGGGCTACCCCCACTCTTCGTGGGTTGGGTTAGGGTTATGGGAAAGAGATAAGTTGAGCAAGCATGCCCAAACAATGTGGTAGGCGTGAACTACCTACTCACAGCACTGTATTTGCCATCGCAATGTTTCAGTACCGCTCGGCACAATAAAGTACTAGAGAACAATTATGAGCAAATGCGTTCATTACCTTAGCCTAGCCCATTCGTTAGAGGTGGGTATAGACGATGCTTATTTATTTAATACACCGTGATGCATTTCGATGTAAGTAGATAGCCACCTTCTGGTTCCAGGTACTTGGATTCCGGCACTTCTAACTGCTGTTAACTTCATATAGAAATATTTTGACGTAGTAATCACACAGTATTGATGGCGCCATTGGCACATTGCTATGTATAATCAGTGCTCGAAATGATGAAGATGAAGACTATTCTGGGAGTGCGTTGAACCTAAAAATCAACGCAGCCTAATAAATGTGCTTGACCTCACATGTGGGCTAAAGTATGTTTATCGAGCGTAACTATGCACTTTTCACTGCTCAAGTAATTTATTTTGCTCAATAATATGATTATTTACATTAATGCTATAGCCGTTTGCTTCAAAAGTTGTAGCGTTTTAATTTTTATAATTAAAATATTGGTCTTCACATATTGCAATACTCTATAAAGTGATCGTTAGTAACCCTTTGGCCTTTAGCCATCGTTGCATCCTTGTTTCACAGTTTACGCGTTAACCATTGTTACCATATTAACCATGGCTCACCAAGGATGAGATTTATTACCAACATGGCCAAGCTTACGTTCTTTCCAATTTACATCTTCATCAGGCTTGTTGATTCTGAGCATGCGAACAACGCGATAGCTCTACCATGGCCGCCGTTTCCAGGCTACATGTTCTTTCATAAATACTTTTTTTCATTCCCTGATGTTGAATTTTATTGGTATGACTATACCAATATGTTTTTCTGCTTCTTTTGAAGCAAGTGTGTTTCAATGACAGATTGATGTTGGAAGCCACGTGTTCCAATGTTGAGGGGCTCTGCCCTATGCACGGCTGGTGCAGAAGCCTATAGCCAATGTTCCAGTCGCACACAGTCGTACCATGCGCGATTAACGTCGCCTTCCCGTAGCTGGAGTCGTATAGCTACGATGGCTGCAGGCTAATAAGGCCACAGACTAGGTCAACAGAAACAATACTTTATTGCTGTACGTTAGCAATAACGGTAAGGTAGGCTTACTCCTTTAGTCGCCGATAGCCTTGGCTTGCAGGGGAATCGGGAAGTTTCTCCCTGTCGGCCCGCTCATTTTCTCCAACCTCCCGGTTTCCCTATCCTCAAAGAGGTTGTTTTCCTCGCGGAGGGAGAGTAACCAGTTTTTGCGAGCCGGGAAAATGGGGGTGTAGCGCGTACCGGCCGCGCGGTGAACGGCCATTCGAAAGAGGCTTCATCGCCTATGTCTTGAGAAGATCGATGTGCTTTCGCAATTAGGCTGAAGCGCTGCCGCAAAACGGAACGCAAGCATGAGCTCACCCACTTCCTCACATATGAGAGAGCGCTGCGGCTTCAGAGCGGAAGTCACTCTGAGCATGAAACGCTGCTTCCCCAAAACCGGTGTAGTGGGCCGGGAATCGGCGCGACGTACTTCCTTACACGTGAGACATAAGCGCTATCTGGCAGTTATGCACAAAATAACTATATGGCGAATGTTTTGTAGCTTCGGTGGTAGGAATGAGTGGGTAAATAGAACACACGTCATTAGAGCCGAGACCTGGAAACACGTCATTCTATCGGAAGCCCTAGCAGGAGCAAGCCATCATGCAGGCCCTCATGCACCTTCTCAGGACTCTAGCACGTGCAGCGCACTCCATAATGACACACCATCGGTCGCTTTTTAACCGTTACGATTACGACAGCCCACTCTACCGGCTATAGAGCAAGCTTGATCTCTTTAACGCGCCCATTACTTCCATTGCTCGACAGCGATAGCTCCGAGTACTAATGCTCCAGTCTGAAACTGCTGTGTGCGTGCGGGAATCAAACAGAATAAGACAGCAGTATTAGCAAAATAAAATAACTACACGCAAGGTATTCGGGGACACTGAAGCACTTTCACTTCCTCCTTGCTCCCATTTTTGCTCCGGCGGCACGTATTGTGTTGTTATCGCAAATTAAGGGGCGGTGCCCTATGCCGCAGTCGAGTGCTCTCTCACAGAGTAAGTCGGTTGCTGTGACTCTGACAATGGAATACAACATGAGTGACCCATCACTGTTGACGCTTGATGATGATGATGAGTAGTTTTTAGTGGCGCAAGGGCCAATTGATGGCCAAAGAGCGCCATTTCAATTGACTACAGATATGAACAATGATATGGTGCGTGGCTGTAAAGGGGCCTTAAAATTCCTCGCTCTAACGCGGGCTAAAACATGAAAGTAATAAAATCATGACAGTGGCGTGACATATGTGTGGTGATAGCTGATGGCAAAATGTCATGATAATAAAACCATGATGAAGATATAGTCACCGCAGCCACGACCACTCTATGGAGGTCAGGCTACGGATGACCTCGAAATATCGGGTGAAAGCTTTGCACTTCTTTTAAAAATGCAAAAAGTGTTTGTAGTTTAAAAAGCGGATCCCTACCGATGAGCATCCCAGGGTGTAGAGGGAGCTGCTGTCGGTAGGGCAGTAAAAAGTGCTTTTTTCTTACAGCATCTAGCTCATTGCACTGGACGAGAATGTGGAGAACCGTAAGGGGCTCTCCACATCTCTCACAATATGGTGGATCACCGGTGGACAGAAGAAATGAATGTGTAGAATGTGTGTGTCCAGTCCTAAGCCTTGTTAGTATTACTTCCGTGTGTCGTGATTTTGATAGTGGCGGCCAATAACCTAGTTGCGGCTTAATAGCATGGAGTTTATTATCTGTTTGTTTATCCCACATGCTCTGCCAATACTCCCTGAGCTTTCGTTTTATAAAAGGTTTTAAGTCAAGTGTAGGGACTGGAGTTGGTGCATTGGCAGTAGTGACATTGGCGCAAGCAGCCAGATTGTCGGCCAAAACGTTCCCTTGTATTTCACGGTGCCCTGGAACCCAGCAGACAACGACATGCTGTTTTGATGCGTAGAGTGTGCACAGAAGTGAGTAGAGTGACACCAGCACGGGGTTCTTGTGTTTTTTAGGAGTTTTCAGGGCTTTGACCACGCTTAGGGAATCTGTGTATATTACCGCCTTTTGTAATTTTATCTGTTTAATGTGTTTTACGACCGCCAGTATTGCGTAAGCTTCTCCTGTGAAAATGCTTGCATTAGGATGAAGAACGCCGGCCTCAGAAAAGTATTGGCCCATTGCTGCATATGACACAGAAGTGTTTGACTTTGACGCATCAGTAAAGAACTCAGGGCATGTGTATTTATGTTGTAGTTCTAAAAAGTATGTATGTATGTGTGCAAGTGGTGCGTGCTTTGTGACATCAACAAAAGAAACATCACAGTCTATAAGCTGCCACTGCCACGGTGGCAGATATGTTGCAGGAGCCATCAAACTGGGTTCAAGAAGAGGCACACCTGTTCCTTCGGCCAAGCTCCTTACACGCAGCACGTAGGGCTGCCTAAACGAAGGTCGGTTCTCGAACAAGCCAGAACAAGACAAATCATTAATTGTGGAATGGGAAGGATGTTTCTTGTCTGCCTTCACCTTCAAAAAGTACAAAAAGGACAGGGAACATCTTTGTAGGTGGAGCGACCATTCATTCGAATCCACGTACAGGCTCTCCACAGGGTTGGTGCGGAAAGCACCCGTAGAGAGGCGAATGCCTAGATGGTGGACAGGGTCGAGAATTTTTAAGGCTGATGGTGTTGCCGACTGGTAGACTATAGCACCGTAATCTAGGCGTGTGCGTACGAGGCTTTTATATAAGTTAATTAAACATTTCCTGTCACTTCCCCATGTAGTGTGTGACAACACTTTCAAAATGTTCATTGTTTTTAAGCACCTGTTTCTTAAATACTTGATGTGTGGGATGAAAGTTAGCTTAGTGTCTAATATGAGACCGAGAAACTTGTGCTCGGTCTTCACTGACAGAGGTTGGCCATGCAGGTCAATGTCGGGGTCAGGATGGAGGCCCCTCTTTCGGCTGAACAAGACACAAGTGCTCTTTTGCGCGTTGAGTATAAAACCATTCTCGTTTGCCCATTGAGATACCTTGTTCAACCCTAGCTGAACTTGACGTTGGCACATTGAGATGTTGCAAGATTTGTACCCAATCTGCACATCATCGACATATATGCAGTAAAAATATTTCGTGGGAGAGACAGGTGCAAGGAATTCATTTTAACTATGAAAAGTGTACAGCTCAATACACCTCCTTGTGGCACTCCTGTTTCTTGGACAAATACTCGAGATAAGACAGTGCCAACTTGGACACGGAATGTACGGTTGGACAGGTAGCTTTCGATAACTGTCAGCATTCTACCCCGCACACCTAAATGTGACAGGTCTCGCAATATGCCGAAGCGCCATGCAGTGTCATATGCCTTTTCCATATCGAGAAACACAGAAAGAAAAAATTGCTTATGAACAAAAGCGTCGTGAATTTGTGCCTCGATACGGACAAGGTGGTCAGTGGTGGACCGAGCCTCTCGAAACCCACACTGGTATGGGTCAAGTAGGCCACTAATTTCAAGGAAGTGCATCAGGCGCCTGTTAATCATTTTTTCAAAGACTTTGCAAATACAGCTGGTTAATGCTATTGGCCTGTAGCTGGAAACTGAGGCCGGGTCCTTGCCTTGTTTTAGAATTGGGATAATGATAGCTTCCTTCCAGGCTGAGGGTAGCTCGCCAGAAGACCATATCCCATTATAGAGACAGAGGAGAGCTTTCTGGGTTTCAGTGGGCAGGTGTTTCAACATTTCATATGCCACACGGTCCGGGCCTGGGGCAGATTTATTGCAGCAGGCAAGTGAGGCCTGCAGTTCAGCAAAACAGAAAGGTTCGTTGTATGCCTCATGTGTTCTGGGCTTGCGCTCTAATCTCTGTTTTTCTATTGCGGTTTTGTATCGTCGGAACGCTTCACTATAGTGTGTTGAGCTGGAGACCTGTTCAAAGTGCGCTCCGAGAGTGTTTGCCTGGTCTTCCAAACTCTCCCCTTGTGTGTTCACTAGAGGAAGCGAATGTGCTTCTCGTCCTGCCACCTTGCCAACCATGCTCCAGACTCTCGACTCATCTGTGTATGAGTTAATGCCCGATACGAATTTGTGCCAACTTTCTCTTCTCGCCTGTTGGCGCGTCCTCCTTGCTTGCGACTTGACGTTCTTAAAGTTTACAAGATTCTCGGCTGTGGCCGAATCTCTAAGCAACCTCCATGCCTTATTTTGTTTTTTTCGAGCATCACGGCACTCATTATTCCACCATGGGACTCGTCGTTTGCTTGACGGTCCACATGTTTGGGGAATACATTTTGCTGCTGCATCAACCAAGAAAGCTGTAAAGTAGCATACAGCATCCTCTATGCTCAATGCCGCCATGTCAGTCCAAGATAATAAAGTCATTTTTTGAAACTTTCCCCAATCAGCTTTGTCGGTGAGCCATTTTGGAACTTGTACAGGGCATGAATTTGTTATTGATGAGCTGATAACGATAGGAAAATGGTCACTACCACATGGATCATTAATAACTTCCCATTTAAGTAGAGGCAGGAGTGATGGGGATATTATGCTGAGGTCTATTGCTGAGTACGTATCGTTAGCAATGTTGTAGTATGTTGGCGCTTTCCGATTCAGAAGGCATGCACCGCAAGAAAAAAGAAGCTGTTCAATCAGGCGACCTCGAGCATCGCAGCGAGAGTCACCCCACAGATTGCTATGAGCATTGAAATCTCCCAGAAGAATATAAGGTTCTGGAAGTTCGTCTATGAGGGACTCGAATTCATGCTTTTCGAGACGGTGTTGTGGAGGTATGTATAGAGAGCAGATGGTGACGAGCTTATTCAATAGAACTGCTCCAACAGCCACCGCCTCAAGGGATGTTTGTAATGTTAGGTGTGTGCATGCAATCCCTTGATTGACTATAATGGCAACACCACCGGATGGCACAATGGCATCATTCCGGTCTTTCCGAAAGATAATGTAGTGACGTAAAAAGTTGGTGTGTTTCGGTTTCAGGTGTGTCTCTTGGACGCACAGCACTTTAGGTGTATGTTTGTGTAAAAGTTCCTGGATATCGTCGAGGTTTCTCAACAGTCCTCTGACGTTCCACTGTAGTATTTGTGTCATTTTAATTTAGTGTGGTGCTGTGCATACAGAGGTGTTGCGTTAGTTTACAGGGCCTTTTGAGGGCCCTGTGATTCGAGGTTTTTCTTTTTTGGTGCGCTCCAAGGAGTTGCGCCTATCCTTCGGCGTCTGAGGCGCCGAAGGAGTGGGACTTGTATCCATCACCTCGTGTGAGGTGGTGAATGTTGCCTGCTGGGCAGGCACATTCACTGAACTTTCGGACCTGACTGCGCCTGCAGTGGTCCGAGGTTCAGCAGACACTAGGGTCTGCCGGCCCTGTTTGTCAGGGGGCGGAGCAGTACAGGCTGCTCCAGCCGGGGGCGCTGGTGGCACGACCGCGGCCACACACTGTGTGGCATTCGCGGGTGCCGAGGCATGTGGCGCGGCGCCCCGGCGCGTCACATCTGCAAAGGAGGGATAAAATGGGTTGTGTATTGCGAAGCGTTGGCGCGCTTCTTGGAATGTGAGATTAAATTTAACTTTAAGTTCTACTATTTGTTTCTCTTTTTTCCATGCGGGGCATGATCGTGAGTAGGCAGCGTGATCTCCTTCACAGTTCGAACAATGAGTTGTTTCTGTGGCGCCGTTGTCTGATATGTGTTGAATGGATGCGCACTTTGCGCAAGTGGCACGCCCTCTGCAACTCTGCGATCCATGACCGAAACGTTGGCACTTGAAACATCGACGAGGGTTGGGAATGTATGGTCTTACACGAAGCTTACAATAGCCGGTTTCGATTGATTCTGGTAGGTCACTTGTTCCAAACGTAATTATTACGTGTTTTGTAGGGGTCAGTTTGTTGTTGCGTCTTATTGTTATTCGTTGGACTTTGACCACGTTCTGGTCCTGCCAACCTTCAAGCAGCTCACTTTCAGAAAGCTCAGTAAGATCATCATCAGAAATTACGCCACGGACAGTGTTCATGGACCTGTGTGGGCCCACCGAAACAGGGGTTTCCCCAAAGGCCACAAGCTTAGACAGCTTTTCATACTGAGCTTTGTCACGAACCTCCAGAAGAAGATCGCCACTTCCCATCTTTGTTACTTTGTAACCTGGGCCTATTGCTTCTGTGAGAGTTTTGGAGACGAGAAAAGGTGAAATAGCTCGGACTGTCTTCTTTTCGTTTTGACTGTGAATTACATGGTACTTTGGGAATGTGGGCTTTGGTGTGTTAGGCAAGAAAGTATCTTCGGTGCGCCACCTTTTTAGGGAGCGATCAGGAAGGGGGGGGAAAGATTTTGCCATAAAATACAATAAAGTTCGGCGGCGATGGTGGCCACCCACCACCGAGCCCAACAAGGGGACGCTACAAGGTTAACTAGTGAACACTTGGAGACGCCAGCCATGCATCGCCGCTATAACCGAATATAACTACCCAAGGTTGGGTAACTACACAGGGTTAACCCTCGCCGCCAGGAAATTCGGAAGTAAACGGAAAAGAGAAGATGACAGGACAGATAAAAAGTGAGAGATAAAGACGAAGATGTAGGAAGAGAGAGATAGGAAAAGGCGACTGCCGATTTCACCTGGGTGGGTCAGCCCAGGGGTGCCGTCTACGTGAAGCCGGGGCCAAAGGGGTGTGTTGCCTCTGCCGGGGGGCCTTAAAGGTCCAATCACCCAGCGTCAGCACAACCCCCAGGATCCCCTTTTCCCCGGACACGGCAAAGCCACGCACGGCTAGGCGTGGGAGGGAGCCGAAACTCCCCCGTTAGCTCGGGTCCGTGGTGTCGCTACACACCAAACGCCTACTTGCGCAGGCGCCCCTGCGGGGGGTTGACGCTTGAGGTTGAAATTTTCTACAGGAGGCAATGACCGAGTAAGTCAAGCATGCGAGTTTGTTGACGCTGTGCTTCAGCAAGGAATGCCGACTCTCAGCAGGGAATCTCATCGCTTATCGCTGCCGACCTACAACTTCAAGGTAAGTCATATAACTACTGGCTATCTTCCTCCGGCAATTTGATATACATCGTAATGCTGTCGTTAAACCCTATTGCGTTAAGCAGCTGCGCTTAAAACCATGCCTTTCTCGGATTTTTCTGCCCGTTCTATGTAATCAGGTCCGACAGGGTTAACGACAACTTCTGGCTATTTTTAACTACCGTATTTCTTCTAGTACTTGAAGCAATATGTTTAACACGGCTGCTTACCTTGGTTATCTCTCATCTAAAGCGAACTATCGTTGGTCATAAGATAGCTTGTCCCGGTTCACGTCGGTTAATAATGTCTGTGCGCTGCTGCAACAATACAAAATTGTAATTCAAATAGGTAGTGGTCTTGAAGCGTGAAAACTTCGTCAAGTTGGTCGGCCATAACTGAATGGTTGCGTTGTTAGTACATTCAGTGATGTAGTGGTCACCTTGTATGTTTCCAAGCGCGTCACACGTCATGACATTTATACCGGCGAACATCTCCACATATGCGACCATATTGTAACGCACACTTCAATGAACACTTTTAATAGACTAACATTGGCAGGGCGAACTTGTGCCTGATAATAACAACACAGCTGGAACGGAATCTCCTAGCAGTCCCGAGGAGTCACTTCTGCTTCTTTCTCCACGTTCCTCTTTTTTGCAACACAGGTCGCGTGCAGCTGGGCCCCACAGGCTCGTGCGCCGCAAACCATCAGGAGGGCATAAGCATCGGCTGGCGCGCGTAACTTGAAGTCACATTGTGTCATTGCTCCCCTTTCCAGAGTGCATCGTCCCGCTGCTTGTGCCGAACTGGTTGCATGACGGTCATTCATAATACCTCGTCGTGGATGCAGGTAACATCGAACAACGTTGCGTCCTCGACGTTTCATTGCCTTTCGTGATTCGGTTTCATCCTGAAGACATGTACAGTTTCCGTGCAATGCCGCCATCAGGATGAAATATGCTCTCCCTCTGGCATAACTTCGTAGTTGAGCGAGCCGACGTGGCAGAGCACTCCCTACAGACCCAAAAATATGCGAAGACATTTTTCAGATAGGCCACGTATTCGTACAGGAATCTACTTCCATACTATGTCTCCTGGTGCGTACTGGACGTCCCTTTGTCGCAGATTGTATCGGTGCGTGTCAGTTTTCTGGTGTTGAAGAATGCGATGTCGTGCCAGCTGTCTGGCTTCTTCTGCTCTTTATATGTAAGTCGTGAACGTCATACTCATTCTAGGACGTCTCGTGAATAGGTAACGTTGCATCTAAAGGTGTCGTTACCATCAGGCCAAAACAAGCTGGATTGGCGTCATCCGTGTTGTCTCTTGCATCGTGGCGTTATAGGCGAACGCTGAATAGGGTAATATTTTATTCCTGGTACGGTGATCAATATCCACGTGCATTGACAACATATCAGCCAGCCTTCTGTTCAATCGTTTGACAAGACCATTCGCTTGAGGATGATATGCCATCATTTTCCTATGACTGGTGTGGGTCAATTTCATAATACATTTCATCAGGTCGGCCGTAAATGCAGTTCCGTGGTCCGTGATCAACGCTATTGGAGCTCCGTGCCGCAGTACGATGTTGGAGACGAAGAATTCGGCTACTTCAACGGCTGATCCTTTAACAAGAGTAGCTGTTTCGGCATATTGGGCTAGATAGTCGGTCGCAACTATTATCTACCGTTTTCCCGATGACGACGTAGGAAATGGGCCCAGTAAGCCCATTCCCGCTTGTGTGAACGAGGCCCCTGGTGGTTATATTGGCTGGAAGAGACGTGCTGGTTTTAGCAGTGGGGTTTCACGTCTTTGGCAGTCCCGGCAAGTTCTGACATAGTGTCGTACAGAGCTAAGCAACTTCGGCCAGTAGTATTTAGTGCGGATGCGGTCCAACGTTCTGTTCCCTCCAAAATGTCCAGCTGATGGATTGTCGTGGCAAGCCTCCCAAATCTCTGGTCGCAGAAGGGAAGAGACGACAAGTGGGAATCTCACTGTATTGTTGTCAAAGTTTCTTTTATACAGGATGTTGTTTCGTAAGATGAAGGCTGACAAGCCGCGGGTAAAAGGTCGTGGGACATCGACAGACTGCCCTTGTAAGTACTTGATCAAGAGGAGCAGCTCAGGGTCGGATAACTGATGATGTGCCATCTCTGACGGTGTCACAGCTCCCAAGAAAACAAAATCTTCATCATCCTCGGTGGAAGCAGAAGCAGCAGGTTGAATCAGAGCACGTGACAAGCAATCGCATCACCGTGCTTGCGACCTGGCTTATACATGAGCGTGATATCGTGCTCCTGTAATCATAGGCTCCATAATGCAAGCCGCCCACATGGGTCCTTGAGATTGGCCAGCTAGCATAGCGAAGGATGGTCGCTTATAGATCAAAAAGGCCTATAGATATGGTCGAAACTTGCTGATTGCCCATACCATGGCAAGGCATTCTTTCTCGGTCGCTGAGTAGTTCACCTCAGCTTTTGAAAGAGTGCGACTGGCATACGCCATGACTCGTTCTTGTACGTTTTGCCATTGGATGAACGTGGCCCCAAGACCTAAATTGCTTGCATCCATGTGGTGTCGCTTACCGCTTCCTTGTCACAACGCGCCAGAAAAGTATGCCTTTGAATACACTTCCGTAGTTCATTAAAGGAATTCTCTTGTTCGGCAAGTCATACGAAAGGCATTTCCTCTTTCGTCAGCCACGTCAGTGGTTCAGCGAGTCGTGAAAAATTTTACGAACCATCGATAGTAGGTGCAGAGATCCAAAAATCGCCTAACTGCCTTCTTGTCTGTTGGCTTCAGAAATTTCTCCCTGGCCTCAGTTTTTGCAGGGTCTGGGTGGACGCCTTTTGCACTGATGACATGGCCGAGAAAAAGGAGCTCACGGAAGTCTAAATGACATTTCTGTGCTTTTATAGTCAAGTCCAGTGACTTGATAGCAGCGAGCACAGCCCGGAGCCTCTCCAAATGTTGCTCCAAGGTAGCAAAGAAGACTACAACATTGTCGAGATAAACCAGGCACGGCTGCCATTTCAGACCGCAAAGCACTGTGTCCATCATCCGTTGGAATTTGGCGGGTGCTGAACAAAGGTCAAAGGAGGTACCTTGAACTCATATAAACTGTCCGGTGCTACAAACGCTGTCTTTTTGCGATCTCTTCCGTCAACTTCTATCTGCCAATATCCACTTTTAAGATCCAGTGAGGGAAAATACCTGGCATTTCGCAGCCTATCCAGAGTGTCGTCAATTCTTGAAAGAGGATAAGCATCCCGTTTGGTGATGGCGTTGAGCTTCCGGTAATCAATGCAGAAACGTAAAGTTTGGTCTTTTTTCTTCACAACAACAGGTGACGCCCATGAACTTCATGAAGGCTGGATCGCGTCGCCCTTGAGCATTTCTTTAACCTGATTATCAATAGCTTCTCTTTCTCTTGGTGACACTCGGTAGGGGCGCTGGCCTCACTGACTCGTCGACAATGATATGATGTTTGGCGATAGGAGTGCATCGAACGTTAGATGACAACGTGAAACATTCGGCGAATTCCCTTACAAGACCCTCTATTTCCTCTTTTTGGTTTGGTAGTAGCCCTGGCTCAATGTCGACGGATGCAAGGACAGACTCCACGTCTTGCAAATCAGACTCATTGGTTTCGACAGTGCGCAGCTCCGTAACCTGGACGAAGTCATTCAGTCTGGTGATGACGGTTCCCTTTGCAACGTGCTGCACTTCATTCGCAAACTTTGTCAGTAGAACATTCGTACATATTTCACGTAACTTAACAAGGCCTCGCGCCATGCCGATCCCTTTTGGAGTATTAAGGCAGTGTGGTTGTCAGAAAATCCTTCGAATTCACTGAGTGCTTTGTTGGTTACTGCGACAAATATTCTCGATCTTGACGGCACCATGACGCCATCACATCACTCTTCTCGAGTCTCCTCTCGGGCATTGGCTGTAGGGTGCTCTGCGGCATCAGGTACTGCATAGATGTAATCGCCGCGGCGTCCGCACGTCCTGGAGATCGTCGCAGCAGCACATCGGCATAGGTCATTCTTGTCTGCTGTTGTAGTGGTGGTTCTGGCTGTGCGTTTCTCAAAGGTTCGCGTACTACCTGCCTGACCTCCTCTCGGATCACATCGACCAGAGACGAAAGCATTGGGGCATTGGGGCACTGCTTCTGGAGCTCTTCTCACATAACAGACCACACTAGCTCGCGTAGTGCTTCCATGCTGTTACCGAAGACTGGTGGCAAATTGTCCAAGGAAGTGATAATCGCATCGTGGTTGTGTAACCTTGCTCGCTGTTGCAGCGTGCTTTCCATCGTAGTCGCCTCAGAACGAAACCCGGTGACGGTGCGCGGCGGGGTCCAAATTAGTCCGGCAAAGAGTTCTTGCTTCACGCCTCGCATCAGATGACACAGCTTCTCTTCTTCGCTCATATTTAGATCCACTCGGTGGAATAGGCGAGACATATCTTACACATACATGGCTACACTTTCATTATTGCGCTGATTTCTTGTCTGGAGCACAAATTCGGCTCTCTCTTTGCGGTCTGTGTTCGGGAAAACAGCGAGCAGCTCCCGTCGAAAGTCTTCCCACGACAGGAGGGCAACTTCGTGGTTTTCATACCACGTTCTTGTGCTATCTTCCAGTGCAAAGTAAACACTTTCAAATTGGCGCTCTTCCACATAGCCGTTAGCATTTGCGACGCGTTCAAAGTGTTCAAGCCAGTCCTCCGCGTCCTCGTAGCTTTCGCCGGGGAAAGGTTTTGGTAGCATCGGCTGGTTCACTGCAATGTTGGCTGGAGTGACCTGAGCTGTCATGTCGGTTAAGTATCCGTTCACAGCCGTTGAGGTTCTAAGGGAAGTCGATGAAAGTGAAACTTTAGGACCTTCACCACGTAGGCATTGACTACAGAGCTAATGAACAGGCGTAAGCTCATTGGGTCCCAATAGCTGTGGTTCTGGACTGTGCTCTGTCAGTCGAGAGAGGCTTGGCATCGCACCCAACACTTCCACCAAACTTGTAACGCACACTTCAATGGACACCTTTAATGGACTAACACAGGCAAGGCGAACTTGTGCCCGAGAATAATAACACAGCCAGGACGGAATCTCCTAGCAGTCCCGAAGATTCACTTTTGCTTCTGTCTCCACGTTCTTTTTTCAAACACGGGTCACACGCAGCTGGGCCCCACAGGCTCATGCGCCGCAAACCATCCGGATGTCATAAGTGTCGGCTAGCGAGCGTAACTTGAAGTCACATTGTGTCAATATGTGTACACATGATGGAGAGGAAGGGAGGCCAGATATGTCTACGTATGAGCTGCGGGAGAGCTGCGTTGCTCGAGCAGCATTTGCGAACTTTGATCACAAGGGTGCAATTGCGAGTGCTGCCGCATGCGCTACGGTGCCCTCATGATTGCAGTTTGCCGTACACGACTCGTACAACCTTTTGCGAGTCGTCTACAGCACTGGTGTATGCGTGCTACCGCGCCCTTATGAATGAAGTTCGTAGTACATGGCTTATAAAACCTTGAAAACCATGTACATGCTCTGCTCTCACAGCTTCTACTTCGCGTTGAGACGACACCCAGCATGAAAATAGCTTCGTTCCCAGGAGCTTCAATATTCCCTGGCTTTGGTACTTCCTAGAATTGCGCGAGATATTGGATACATAAAAGTTAGCATCTTGTCTAACTTCGTATAGCATTCGAACTTGTTAATGTATCATTCATTGGTTCACCCATGTGGCGAAACTGTGTTTTGTGCTCCAAATTCATCAGTGTTTTCCAGTTGCATTGGTTTGTTCACCAAATATCTTGGCATTCCTCCTTACAATCAACTCTCTGAAAGAGGTAGACTTGTAAGTCTGAGCATTCGCAGTTCAGTATCCTTACATTGCATTATGACTGCTCGCATTGCCAAGAACTGGCTTTAGGAGGAATAGAAAACAAACGGGTGATTTGTGTCAACCTTTTTGTGTCTGTTTAGTGCTTGACTTTGTTTATTGGCCACGCGAACAGTCATGAAGTCACACGAAGTAGCCCCCACAACATATTTATTTTCAAATGAATATCAATGGCTTTTTCCAGTATCATGTCGTGGGTCATTCTACAGAATGTGGCACATTATCTGTGATGTGGCCACACGTGTTTTTTAAACGCGCGATGCTAAACCTGTGATCATGGTGTCTCGTTGCCTATGGCTGATTAGTTCGACGCCCTCGTCCTTTCGTGTTTGTCCTTGTGGGCAATAATTTTGTGATTCCTCACGCTAAATTTAGCTTACTCCTCTAACACCATTCATTTTATGGATGCGATGGTGATATTTTTTCCTCTCCCTCCTGCCTTTCTCAGGTCGACAGGAACGCCTGGACGAACCGAGACTTGAAGGTTAAAATAACCTTGGCCAGATTCAAGGATTTTAGCAGAATCGTGAGCAACATCAACGCCTGCGTGCCGTCAATGAAGAATGGAAACGTGAGCGTCAGCTGTGATCTGAACATTGGTGGCATCGAAGCCATGCTTCTGACCGAGGTAAAGTTACGGGACCGAAAATGCTTAAGCCAACTTTTTTATGAGACCATTGGCAGTTTTTCGGCTATACCGGCACGACCGTACAATTTTTCAATCGCGAAAATGATAAAATGTTCAGGTGAAAGCCTCAAAGGCCTCACCAAACGCGAAACTTTAGCCTCGGCATACACACGAACAAAATATCACCATGTGGCGCCATCGTAACGTCACATATTGCCAAAATTTGTGACTTCCATAATAAGCCAGTTGTTGTGACGTCATGTGGTCACGTCATCCTATAAACTTCTTTTGGTCAAAGGTGAGCCGATAGTGAAGGCAGCGCAAACCTAGGTTAGGAGCAGATTGCTTGCAATGACTTCAATTTCGGAGCTAGTGCAAATCCACTTTAGGTGAAGAAAGCTGTCGAAGAACGGTGGGGCCGGAGAAGAACATTGACTGAGAATAAAAATGAATAATCGTGGCTGTCGCCTTTTAGTCTTCTCAGGCTAATGCATGAGGAAGCCTTTCAGTTTTCTTTCTTCTTTTTTCTGAGTGATGAGGAACTTCACCTGGGTAGAACGGAGTGTGCTACTAGAAACTTTAGGTAGCGCTCACCATGTGATCTAGCTTGACGTAGCGTGAACTCGCAAACAGATGCACATCAGAAAAGTACAATTCACGGAATGGAAGTTCTTCGGCGACTGATGTTGAGTTGAACCACCATAACGTGACACTGAACAGTGGTTCATGAACGTGCTGGAACAGCCGAACGCCAATTCAGCTCGACGCCAATACACCTCCAGTCGAAGTGCATCCCACCCCTCACTGGATACTAAAAGAGGACTTCTAAAAAGATGGAAGCGCCATACACGTGAAGAAGCACTTACTATAAATTTCAAAACCACGATGTGCCCTTCGTTTCATTGATCGGTATAAATAGGTATTCTTAGCCAAGTTCGAATCGCGTTTATCGCGTGAAAGATATTTTATTTTTGACGACAAACAACGTACGAAAACAGACTGTGAGTTTACTGCCTGTGACTTCGACACAGGTGCTACGTATTCGGTGCAATACATTCCACCCATATCATACTTAATGACAATGCGCTGGTATAGCAATGACATCTACGATCCGAGTGTTGTTATGGTGGCGACGACTAACATCGACGCCTGGAAATGCTGTCACTTTCAATGTCTCATTTCCGTCGCACAGCTTTGAATGTTTTCATGAAATCACAAGACGCAAACCACAAATAAAAAGTCACAGCTTTGCCACAAAGGCGAAGCAATGAATGCGATAGCAACAAATTAGAATGTCACACGAAGAATGACAAGCAGATCGGAAGGTGCCCCGCGTTTTTCACGCACAAATGACGCATGAGGCGTACTCATAGGCACAGATGAACACGAATAAGTATGTCAGTTGTTACTTCGCCGTGTTCTAAAAGTGCGCCCTTTTCGCAAACGGAGACTGTGCAGAGCGTGCAGTGACCTTTGTGCGCCCGCATGCATACAGCCTCAATTGTGAGGCCTGTGATATCCTTGAAACAACGGAACATATCTTGCGCGTCTGCCCACAATATATCGCGCAGATAAATTCGATGACCACTGTCTCGATTAAATGTACTAAGCAGCAAGTTTCCGAAACAACTTATGGCAAACGATACAGAACCTCCAAATCGTGCTTAGCCGCTCAATGCCTGGCCGTGTTTAAAAAAGCATTCTCGGTGGCATTGTATACTCGTGCGCATGCTGTAAGGGCAGTTCACGATTGTTGCAGGAATGATTGTACAAAACCAGTTTCACCGAAAAGGTGAAGCAATGAATGTGATAGCAACAAACTTCAATTTTATAAAAAGTGGGGCTAGCAGTCAACTCATTCAGATCCAATCTCACGGAACTACAAAACGCTGGTGTAAGAAAACACATCCGCTCCAGGTACACTTTTGGCACCATTTTTCTTGTTTGTATTGAAAATGCAGCCCGTAGAAACTTCCGCTTGCTGTGGGGGCACAAGCCATACTATGATTATTACCGCGATAGCTCGACAACTATAAGCACCCCCCCCCCTTCCCTTGTCTGACCCTGCCCGGAAAAGTAATGTTCGCTCCATAGAAAGAGAAGGCTAGCACTTCCTCAGTCCCGTATACAGGGTGTCCCACGTAACTTCCCGACAGAGTTTAAAAATATGCCGGAACACGCAATTACTATGCAACCGAATGCATGTTCTCACCGTCGACCGGAGTTACTCAGACTATTTTTTGCTATCAAATATTGTTTAATTAGGTATGTTTAATTAACTAACTTTTCAAGAAATGAAGATAGATAAAAAAGTTTGAAGAGAAAGTCATAGATCGGTTTGCAAAACGTCCGCCCCGCCACGGTGGTCTAGTGGTTAAGGTACTCGGCTGCTGACCCGCAGGTCGTGGGATCAAATCTCGGCTGTGGCGGCTGCATTTACGATGGAGGCGGAAATGTTGTAGGCCCGTGTACTCAGATTCGGGTGCACGTTAAAGAACCCCAGGTGGTCGGAATTTCCGGAGCCCTCCACTACGGCGTCTCTCATAATCATATGGTGGTTTTGGGACGTTAAACCTCACAAATCAATTGCAAAACGTCCGATTAGACAGTTTTGAACTCTATATCTGTTATGTATTAGTGTTTTTCTGCTGATACAAATGCCCGTGAAATACTAAAAATAACACGTGACAAACCCACTCGTGCATTAGTGCGCGCAATGATTCTAGTGCTCTCTAACGTTCCGCGTACGAACTACCATAGCATTTGCCTCATTGTGCTGTCTCAGCATGGCCGCAATGATGGTGGTTGCTTTACGATGAACACGTTTTGCTATCGGCCACAAAAACGATAACCGCTGTGACTGCTTATCGCTGTCATGAACCGGTGTGAGGGAAGCCTGTCGATCGTACGCAGAACATTAGGGAGCACTAGAATCATCGTGTGCACTGACGCGCAAGCGGGTTAGTCACGTGGTATTTTTTTTCTTTCGCAGGCATCTGTAATTAGCAGAAAAACACTGATACTTAACAGATATAATGATAAAAAGTGTCACTTTGAACGTTTTGCAAACCGATCTACAACTTTCTCACTTAAATTTGTTATCCATCTTCGTTAGTTCAAAAGTTAGTTAATTAAACAGATCTAATTAAACAATATTTGAGAACACAAAAGATTGCCTGACTAACTCCAGGCAACGTTGAGCAACATGCATTTGGTCATGTTGTCGTTACGTGTTCTGGCATATTTTTAAACTCTGGCTCAAATTACGTAGTACACCCTGTATATATACATACATATACATATAAGTGAATTAAGGCGGCGGCAGCGGTGACGATGACGGCGAAAACCAACCGAGATGGTGTGTCGTTTTCTTACGCGTATTTTCCACGCCAACAAGACATTAAGCTTTTAGCATGGCATTCATCAAATTATAGGTGCAATATTTGTTTTGCAATAAACAGGAAAATAAACTTTGTCTTTTTCTTTCAGTAATTGTTTTCTTTTCATCATGCTTTATATTTCTAACCTTATTAGTGAAACGAGTGTGCCGTAATTAACACACTCTTTTATCATCCAAGCATATTCATTGAGCACTTCCAATTTTACAAATATTCCGAACAGTCTTCTTAAACCTAGAAATGAACGGTTTTGGACCAAGAGCTGAGCAGTGGTGAATAGATGTCATATTGGCAAATAATTTTAGCCTAAGACAAGGATCACCTAACTCTTAGAATAATGTAATAAGTTTCAATTGAGTTCGTTGAAAGATTGTGAGCAGTTGAACTGTTGCGGAACCTGGTGGAGCGAATCTCAACTGTGCCATTCTTTCGAGGTGGCTTACGTTTTATCAGTCTGCAACGTTAAAGTTATATAATAAAGTGAAAGCCTGTGATGTCCTACCAAACGAGAAAAGTGTGCATTGATGGCGGCATGAGCTCGAATGCAAAAAAGTAATGTGTTCAAAGACGACGGCTTGATGACTGTCACAGATCTCCTAAACTTGGGACGTAAGCATGCATGACGTCCCTATGACCTCACGTGATGGCGTTCTACCACCACGTTTTCTTTTTTATTTAATTTCAGACTAAAGGAGACAGCTTGCTCGGCGAAGCGAAGCTTGTTCGGGTCAACGCATTTCTGTACCCTATGATCGGTAAGCTTGAAGTCACCTGCGCAATGAACAAACCAGCCTTCCTTCGCAGTTTTGTTGTGAAGGGCGACTACATCGAAGTGACGGTCGGAGAAAATCTCGACTTGAACCCGCTCCGAATGAGCATTTTCAAGACCCACATCCGTCACTACATAGGGACACAACAGGAAGAGAAACTCGACTCTTACTACGAAGAACGGCTCAAAGATGCCTTTTCCCGCGTGACCTTTTTCTTGTTTTGATCGATAAAATTAGACTACTTATCTTTGAAGAGAGGGAAATATGGACGTGGAAAAAGTAGGTGCGAATGAATAAATAAATAAATACGCAAATGGTAGTGTGATTAAAAATGAAGCATACATTGTGGTGGTTGTATGGTCTACTGAAGTTGCTGCTAGCGAGAGGATCGGATGAGTCTCTATTCCGGACGATAGTTATAGCGCGAGAACAGATCGACGACACAGAGACAAGGACACGAAGGACTTAATCTCTGTGTCGTCGTTCTGTTCTCGCGCTATAACAAACGTCATGTCATACCAACTAGCCCAAGCTGCCACACTTCTATTCCGGGACCTTATTGAACTCGGCTGCAACCCGCGGGCACATCACGGGACTCCGCTAATACTCGAAAGCTGAGCTGTACAATGTATTTTCTCACACAATGCTACTATAGCGTCCTACTACATGCCCGGGACTCGCTCGCTAAATTTCGTGCCGACCGGTTGCGCCCCGCGATCTCCGACGACAACGCAGCTCTGGCCGACTGGCTCGCTCTACGCCATCTGACGCCGACAAGAGCTCTCGCCGAGTGGTGCCCCATCCTCGGGCCCCTGCGACCATGTCCACCTTTCCTATCTTATCCTTACTTCTATATGTGGCTGTCCCTGTCCCTCTCTCTATCTCTATACCTTTAATTCATCCCTATTCTTTTTAATTGCTCCTTACCCCCATCCCCTGCGCAGAACTGTGGAGGTGCCCTCCATTGAGAGAGAGGCAGTAACGAAACTGCGCTGATTTCGTCATTTTCAATTTAGCAAGTCACTTATACTACATGCCCTAAGGATCTGACAATAAAGACTAGGAAGACAACTGAACTGAGGCGCTGACAACTAAACACATTCTGATAACAAAACCCAATTGAAGCGTTGGATAATAACCCACTCGGCTTTTCAATATTCACTTTCTTGCTTCTTACGAGTGCACGTCAGTAAATTAATAAATAATACGAACTGAAAGGCCTAATATGTAACCAGTCTTTAGAAATATGCTCGTCAAAACCAGGTCACCTCCTGCGCTCTGTTCTAGTACTTACACTAGTATTTATGCCATCTTCAACACTTGTATTTACACTATACTCTGGTTTGCCACCGCAGAGGTCAGCCGACTTTGTGAGAGGGCCACGGGACGGCTATAAGCTCTCTTATAGTAGAGTACCCTGTACTCTAAATTGTTAGCCACTTTTTTCTAACCCCCCCCCCCCCCCGCCTCCAAACAACGCGGCTACCGAAATCTGTTGCAAGGTGAGTGCCGACGACGGCACCTTAGGGACGGCTTTCAGCTCTCCCATAGTAGAGTACCCAGTGCTCTAAATCGTTAACCACTTTTTTCTAAACACACATTTCGGAGAGAAGAGGTTGGCGCTAGCCACGGGGCGGTTTCAAGCTTTCCCATAGTAGAGTAACTAGTACTCTAAATCGTTACCCACTTTTTCTAAACACACAGCCTCACCGAGTGTGAGGCCCGCGTGACGGCTTTATGCCTTCCCATAGTAGAGTACCAAGTGCTCTAAATCGTTAACCCTTCTTTAAACACATGAATATTGATTCCTAGCTTACGAGCCCAACATTTTATACTCAATTCTGGAACGGAGTATTTCAACGTGCGGCATATTTATTTCTATCTGAATGCAAAACAATAACGTGTACGAAAATTCACGTCAGAAAAGACAAATGGCTTTTCTGAACTACTTTCATGCTTTTAAGAAACAGTAGACATCATAGCAGCACTGCATCATGCAGCATTAATGTCCGGCAAGTGTAATCGGGGTATCTACTTGTCACGAGTCCCGTTAATTAGGGAAGCGATCGCCGGGCTAATTCCAAGGGCCGAAGTATCGGCCTCCCGAACCGCACCACGAAAGCGTGGACAATTCAAAAGTGGTCCTATTTGGCGCGCACGCGGACACCGGCTGTGGCCCAAAGAACAGTCAGAGCCGAGAGTTGATAAACGAAACAAAATTATATTCTCAATTATGGCAGATCAAAACGATACACAAGTATGCACACTCGACAATAGTTGAATACAGTATGTCACCAATCAAACAACGTACTACACAGTACAATCAGCCCCACTCGAAACAACGGACACAGACAACAATACGCGCTACAATGCAGTCGCATGCATTGAACAACCAAGACACTTAAAGACTAAAGAGTTAGAAACTTATTCAGTCCAAAGTTCTTGGAACAAAAGTCTGAATGATACTATTCCGAGAATCACTTACTTAAATCCAGCGTTGTTGTCGTTCCGCTCCCCCCGAAATTTCTCTTCCAAGAAACCTCGCGTATTCAATTGGCTGCTCTCCAGGCTCCAAACTTCTTCGCCGGAAACACGTCGGCTTCCGTCACGCAGCTGTTGCCACGCGTCTTCGCTCGCTAGCGGTAGACACACACTCTTGCCTGTAGCTCGAATCTTCACCCCTCAGGTGGAAATCCTCTTCTTCTCCTCCTTTGTCACTGAGGACAAAAGGCTTCACGGACAAGGCGGAACACCCTATGCTCTTTGGCGCAATATTTCTTCTTCTCCTGCTTTGTCGCTGAGGACAAAACCTTCGCCGACTACATGGAGGAACACCCTACGCACTCCGGCGCATACTTTCTTCTCCTTATTTGTCACTAAGTGCAAAACCTTCACCGACAGACGCGGCGGAATGACCCTGCGCGCACTGGCGCTAACTTCCTTCTTCTCCTGATCTCCCATCTCTGCTGCTCGGTTAAATACCTTCCGCACGAGATTCCAGAAAATTCTCATCATTTCGTAGGCGCGATGTGCAGCGAAGGCTGGGGGAAAGCGCGAGACGGTTCGACGGCCGTCCGCGACGGATGACGCAACCCGGCCTCACTACACCCTTTCCATCGAGAAATTACCAGGGCTTGCTCGGCCGCGATGTGAGGAGGTTCGTCGGCGAACCTACGCTTTCGAGAGGGAAGAGGGACGAGCGCCCGGGGAGTCTTTGGATGCTTGTTTTCTTTTTTTTATTGTTGACCTTGAGGCGTCTCCCCAGAGCTTCGTCGCGAGAATTTGGCGGCGCGCCCTTTTTTGAGCGCTCGTTTTGTGACATTCCTTTCAGTTTGACCTGAAATACCATGAACTGTTGGTGCTCATCAAATACAATACCTACCAAATTATTTATAATTGAGACACTTCATTATTGATGTATACATTAGATATTTCCTAGACGTGTATAAAATTTCATAGAATTTGCAGGGTTCTAGTTTCAACGAGAAAAGATTGGTACAAGTGACTGGTTGCTGGAGCGTCAAGATTGCAACATGCGCCACTGCACTTTTTTTTAATGCGAATGCATTTCTTAGTCGGGCTATGTCCGTCGTCCATCGGGATCGTTCACCACCTTCTCCCACAGCAAGAGCTGTGGGCGCGGGTCGATAGCAACCGGAGCCCCCACGATGTCGCACTTCGACGTCAGCAGCTGCCAGCAACAGCTGCGACGATTATTTTGGCCCCTAGCAACCAGCATAGAGTTTCCTAATATATTAATTTTAGGAAACTCTATAACAACCGGATCCCCTTCTTCTTTGACTTGAACGTCACTTGCCGACACGAATGCTTGCCACCGCCTCATCGCAGTGCGTTTGAAACGCCTTTGTAGCGTTTGTTTCCAGCGTTTGAGTAGCATTTTTTTAACCGTGCATGCTTGCCACTAAAGCTGAAAATTCGGCAGATCCCACGCTCCTGGGAATCAACGTTATGCGAAGATTGCGGAGGGAAGGTGACCAAGTTGCAATTTTTTCACGTCATGAAATGACGCTAAATATATGCACAAATGTTGCACGCACAGACATAAGTTGAACAGTTGCAGGTGTTTACATAATCAGTTGTTTGCATTTGCGCAACGATGTCAACTGGAACATGCGTATTAGAAACACCAGAAGCTGATATGAAGCAATTCATGATGCTAGTGAGGATGCTGGTCTTGGACACTGCTACATAAATGAACTTCAGCGCATGGCAACTAAACACTATGGAAGTTAACCAGACGTAACGGCTGTATCAGAGGAGTACATATGTGATGTTTATAAAATTGAGTAGGCAGCACTGCAACGACTATTGACGTTTCACGAAGATTGGCATCTATATATTTGAAAAGTAGTCCCATGACCTGGTGTAGCCCTGTGGTAAAATGCTCCATTGCCCCGCAGAGTGCTTGAGCTCGATTCCAGCTGGGACCCTAAAATTTATTCTTTGCATACGTCGAGTCGATGCTACCGATGTCGGGTATTTCTTGACGCTCGCGCGTTAAAATTGCCTATGTGTGTTCTCGTCATTCCTGTAAGTGTCAATTACCTGTGGCACATACCCGCATACCAGCGGCACTTACCCGCCTCTGGTTATGTGCCACTGTCTGGCGGGAAGTGTTCGACGACGTACGTGACGGGATTGTGACATTATTCATGTCTTGACTAGCGCGCCATATTCGTCAAACCATCTTACCCTCCCATGCTAATTTTGGTACCCGTCACATTAAGGGGGTGACTACGACAGCGCCTAAACGTAATCGGCTAGATAGATAGATAGATGATATGCCATACCAATTTTAGTATCGATACCATTATCGAAACGGCCAGGAGAGCTAAATGTCGTAGGCGGATAGATAGATAGATAGATAGATAGATAGATAGATAGATAGATAGATAGATAGATAGATAGATAGATAGATAGATAGATAGATAGATAGATAGATAGATAGATAGATAGATAGATAGATAGATAGATAGATAGATAGATAGATAGATAGATAGATAGATAGATAGATTAGATAGATAGATAGATAGATAGATACGCTCAAGTTGCCGAAGTTCGCTAAGAAATGCTTCGCATTTAAAAACGCATAACGCGTTTCTCGCGAAAGAAAAATGCCACGTGCAGTGAACGGCGCTATTGGCTGCACAGTGCAAGGAAAAAAAAGAAAACAATATTCTTCTAACGCTAGGTTCTCACGTGCGAGACACCGTTTTGGACACAACGTAATGCATTCGCATTTCCTCACGATTGCTTTTG